GTAGAGAGGCAGGTCGGTAGAGCGTCTGGCCGGTAGAGTGCCTGGCCGGTAGAGCGTCTGGCCGGTAGAGCGTCTGGCCGGTAGAGTGGCAGGTCGGTAGAGTGTCTGGTCGGTAGAGAGGCAGGTCGGTAGAGTGTCTGGTCGGTAGAGAGGCAGGTCGGTAGAGCGTCTGGCCGGTAGAGTGTCTGGCCGGTAGAGTGTCTGGCCGGTAGAGAGGCAGGCCGGTAGAGCGTCTGGCCGGTAGAGCGTCTGGCCGGTAGAGTGGCAGGTCGGTAGAGTGTCTGGTCGGTAGAGAGGCAGGTCGGTAGAGTGTCTGGTCGGTAGAGTGGCAGGCCGGTAGAGTGTCTGGCCGGTAGAGTGTCTGGCCGGTAGAGTGGCAGGTCGGTAGAGTGTCTGGTCGGTAGAGAGGCAGGTCGGTAGAGCGTCTGGCCGGTAGAGAGGCAGGTCGGTAGAGTGTCTGGTCGGTAGAGAGGCAGGTCGGTAGAGCGTCTGGCCGGTAGAGTGTCTGGCCGGTAGAGTGGCAGGTCGGTAGAGTGTCTGGTCGGTAGAGTGGCAGGTCGGTAGAGCGTCTGGCCGGTAGAGCGTCTGGCCGGTAGAGAGGCAGGCCGGTAGAGCGTCTGGCCGGTAGAGCGTCTGGCCGGTAGAGTGGCAGGTCGGTAGAGTGTCTGGTCGGTAGAGAGGCATGTCGGTAGAGTGTCTGGCCGGTAGAGTTGCAGGCCGGTAGAGCGTCTGGCCGGTAGAGCGTCTGGCCGGTAGAGTGTCTGGCCGGTAGAGAGGCAGGTCGGTAGAGCGTCTGGTCGGTAGAGCGTCTGGTCGGTAGAGTGTCTGGTCGGTAGAGTGTCTGGCCGGTAGAGAGGCAGGCCGGTAGAGTGTCTGGCCGGTAGAGCGTCTGGTCGGTAGAGTGTCTGGTCGGTAGAGAGGCAGGTCGGTAGAGCGTCTGGCCGGTAGAGCGTCTGGCCGGTAGAGTGTCTGGCCGGTAGAGTGTCTGGCCGGTAGAGAGGCAGGTCGGTAGAGTGTCTGGCCGGTAGAGTGTCTGGCCGGTAGAGAGGCAGGTCGGTAGAGTGTCTGGTCGGTAGAGTGTCTGGTCGGTAGAGTGTCTGGTCGGTAGAGTGTCTGGCCGGTAGAGAGGCAGGTCGGTAGAGCGTCTGGCCGGTAGAGCGTCTGGTCGGTAGAGCGTCTGGTCGGTAGAGTGTCTGGTCGGTAGAGTGTCTGGCCGGTAGAGAGGCAGGCCGGTAGAGCGTCTGGTCGGTAGAGAGGCAGGTCGGTAGAGCGTCTGGTCGGTAGAGTGGCAGGTCGGTAGAGCGTCTGGTCGGTAGAGTGGCAGGTCGGTAGAGTGTCTGGTCGGTAGAGTGGCAGGTCGGTAGAGCGTCTGGCCGGTAGAGTGTCTGGCCGGTAGAGAGGCAGGTCGGTAGAGTGTCTGGTCGGTAGAGTGGCAGGTCGGTAGAGCGTCTGGCCGGTAGAGTGTCTGGTCGGTAGAGTGGCAGGTCGGTAGAGTGTCTGGCCGGTAGAGAGGCAGGTCGGTAGAGCGTCTGGCCGGTAGAGCGTCTGGTCGGTAGAGTGTCTGGCCGGTAGAGAGGCAGGTCGGTAGAGCGTCTGGCCGGTAGAGTGTCTGGCCGGTAGAGTGGCAGGTCGGTAGAGCGTCTGGCCGGTAGAGAGGCAGGTCGGTAGAGTGTCTGGCCGGTAGAGTGTCTGGCCGGTAGAGAGGCAGGTCGGTAGAGTGTCTGGTCGGTAGAGTGTCTGGTCGGTAGAGTGTCTGGTCGGTAGAGTGTCTGGTCGGTAGAGAGGCAGGTCGGTAGAGTGTCTGGTCGGTAGAGTGGCAGGTCGGTAGAGCGTCTGGTCGGTAGAGTGGCAGGTCGGTAGAGTGTCTGGTCGGTAGAGTGGCAGGTCGGTAGAGTGTCTGGCCGGTAGAGAGGCAGGCCGGTAGAGAGGCAGGCCGGTAGAGAGGCAGGCCGGTAGAGCGTCTGGTCGGTAGAGTGTCTGGTCGGTAGAGTGTCTGGCCGGTAGAGAGGCAGGCCGGTAGAGCGTCTGGTCGGTAGAGAGGCAGGTCGGTAGAGCGTCTGGTCGGTAGAGTGGCAGGTCGGTAGAGCGTCTGGTCGGTAGAGTGGCAGGTCGGTAGAGTGTCTGGTCGGTAGAGTGGCAGGTCGGTAGAGCGTCTGGCCGGTAGAGTGTCTGGCCGGTAGAGAGGCAGGTCGGTAGAGTGTCTGGTCGGTAGAGTGGCAGGTCGGTAGAGCGTCTGGCCGGTAGAGTGTCTGGTCGGTAGAGTGGCAGGTCGGTAGAGTGTCTGGCCGGTAGAGAGGCAGGTCGGTAGAGCGTCTGGCCGGTAGAGCGTCTGGTCGGTAGAGTGTCTGGCCGGTAGAGAGGCAGGTCGGTAGAGCGTCTGGCCGGTAGAGTGTCTGGCCGGTAGAGTGGCAGGTCGGTAGAGCGTCTGGCCGGTAGAGAGGCAGGTCGGTAGAGTGTCTGGCCGGTAGAGTGTCTGGCCGGTAGAGAGGCAGGTCGGTAGAGTGTCTGGTCGGTAGAGTGTCTGGTCGGTAGAGTGTCTGGTCGGTAGAGTGTCTGGTCGGTAGAGAGGCAGGTCGGTAGAGTGTCTGGTCGGTAGAGTGGCAGGTCGGTAGAGCGTCTGGTCGGTAGAGTGGCAGGTCGGTAGAGTGTCTGGTCGGTAGAGTGGCAGGTCGGTAGAGTGTCTGGCCGGTAGAGAGGCAGGCCGGTAGAGCGTCTGGTCGGTAGAGAGGCAGGTCGGTAGAGCGTCTGGTCGGTAGAGTGGCAGGTCGGTAGAGCGTCTGGTCGGTAGAGTGGCAGGTCGGTAGAGTGTCTGGTCGGTAGAGTGGCAGGTCGGTAGAGCGTCTGGTCGGTAGAGAGGCAGGTCGGTAGAGTGTCTGGTCGGTAGAGTGGCAGGTCGGTAGAGCGTCTGGTCGGTAGAGAGGCAGGTCGGTAGAGCGTCTGGTCGGTAGAGTGGCAGGTCGGTAGAGTGTCTGGTCGGTAGAGCGTCTGGCCGGTAGAGTGTCTGGTCGGTAGAGTGGCAGGTCGGTAGAGTGTCTGGCCGGTAGAGAGGCAGGTCGGTAGAGTGTCTGGCAGGTAGAGTGGCAGGTCGGTAGAGCGTCTGGTCGGTAGAGAGGCAGGTCGGTAGAGTGTCTGGTCGGTAGAGTGGCAGGTCGGTAGAGCGTCTGGTCGGTAGAGAGGCAGGTCGGTAGAGTGTCTGGCCGGTAGAGAGGCAGGTCGGTAGAGTGTCTGGTCGGTAGAGTGTCTGGTCGGTAGAGCGTCTGGCCGGTAGAGTGTCTGGTCGGTAGAGCGTCTGGCCGGTAGAGTGTCTGGTCGGTAGAGCGTCTGGCCGGTAGAGTGTCTGGTCGGTAGAGTGGCAGGTCGGTAGAGTGTCTGGCCGGTAGAGAGGCAGGTCGGTAGAGTGGCAGGTCGGTAGAGCGTCTGGCCGGTAGAGAGGCAGGTCGGTAGAGTGGCAGGCCGGTAGAGCGTCTGGCCGGTAGAGCGGCAGGTCAGGGGTTCGATCCCGGCCGCCTCATGCCAGGAGACGTTAAATAATGGTACTTATTGTTAGCGTGCCTGGTGTTCTCCGCCGCGATATTGCTGGAATATTGCTTAATATATCCCACAATTACGTCCCCGGATATAAGCACCATATATGTATTGTGTTGAAGGAATTAGCCTGTAATTATAACAATGCACTTCTTATGAACACGCCAGTACCTAATGTTACACAATGCACTTCATATGGTCACGACAGTACCTAGTTATACACAATGACAGTACCTAATTATACACAATGGTATTCATATGAACACGGCAGTACCTAATTATACACAATGTTCTTCATGTGAACGTCATATATTTTGATTTTAAACTAAGCGTTCAAATAAACGCAGTATTATCAACTGTACTCTACATATGGACCCCATATTACTTAATTAAACACAATGCACTAATATGTAATATGAAAGCAATCTATTTAATTATTTACTTTGCACTTAATGTGAACACAATATTATTTGATTATGAACAATGTAGTTAATATGACCGCCATACTGTTTAAGTAGGTGTATTCACAATGCACTTGTACATCTATACCAACATACACTTCCGGACAAAAGTATGTACATACACCATGTTTCATTATGACTTAACGTGGCACAGACACGAATTGGTTATGGAATGGTGATGTACATGTATTTGAAACGGGTATCAAAGGCGATATTGGACCGAAAGTTTCCAGTGTTTGGGCGACTGTTTTTAATCAAGTAACGGTTTGATAACGTTTGTTATTTTTTTGTCAAATCCATTCAAGCGTTCACTCACTTTTGCCCAACAGTGTTCCTTATCTACAAGATATACTCCCAAATTATACTACAATACTAAGTTCAGCAGACAACAAGGTCGAGTGTCAGGATGGGAGTGAAGTTATCCAGTGTCAGTGCAGGAACACCTTGCCCTGGTACAGACAGTTGGTCCATGTTTGTACTCATAATAAAGGAGTCAAACCTATTGCTTATAAAGCTGTAGAACACACCACCCACTGACCTAGTCACCCATGTATGCTTCTCACTAGAGGGAGCGAACCAGAGCCATGGCCAGTGATAACGCACGTCCTTGAAGTGTGTATAGTGTGGGGAGATGAAACCGGATTCGAAACTCAGCTACCGACCTCAGCTGCACTTGACCTAGCCCCCTACCCTCCTACTCTCCTACCCTATTGTACCCGCCAGACGAAACATACATCGTTGTAGACATGCCCCAAGTGCACCCGGCTATCTTTCAGATGTAGGACATCAGGAAGGGGAGATGTGATCAACCCACACCAACCTTGTCACACAATGGTAGCCACAGCCTGGCCCTGACATGGTTAAGGGTGGGAAATGATCGCTAACTAGGCCGTAACATATTCCTAGGAAGAAGCCTGTATTTCTCAGAAAGGGGTGTCGAATCAATACAAACAATAACATCATGACACGCCCTTTTGGGAGACGATGAATTGAGTTCCTCCTATGAGACACGCCCTCCAGCACCGAGCTGCGAATGGCCGATACTACTGATCAGGACCCTCCCATATTTATGGGGGCTCATCTCTCCCTTGTCCATGTGGTCAGCATCTGCCCAGGGGAACCACCGCATCCGCATAACTTCCGTCATGGAATCTCAATATGTGGCTTTTCACATTTCCCGGAAGCCTACCGGCTCCAACAATCACGTTGTCAAGGAAACAGAAAGGAGCGCATCTGGTTGCCATGGACATGGGTCTCGGGTCGGGTGGGCTGTTTGGGCGATATGCATGTTTTCCGTCGGTGTCAACGTCGTGTTGCTGATGATGTATATCGGGCTGCAGAGGGAGGTGGACAGACAGAAAGGAGTTGTTGATAATATTAACACCTTCCTGACCAATCAGGATGCAAGGGACAGCTTCAGGCAGGACCAGGTAGGTGCCCGTCCTGAACATGTTGACAAGAAAACAGTTGTTGAGGTTTACAGCAAAATATCGACTCTTATTGTTTCTAAAAAGGTTGGAAACTGCATATATATCTGCAATATGTACCTACAATGACTAGAAGAAATTAGAGGATGTTCATTGTTCACACAACAATATTAGAAAAAAATGGCACAATATCAATATGCACAAAATTGAAGTTTTTTAGCATTATGAGCTGTTGCACATGTATATTTTGCAATGCACTGCAACGATGTCAAAGTAGAAATAAAATATTTTCTTACTGTTGCTGCTGATGAAATAGTATAGAATTTATTTGTGCAAATATTCTTTAATAGGAAGTTTGATCTCTGTTAGTGCGATACGACCCGGGCAAGATTACTGTGGTTAGATGGTCAGTTATTCAAACAGTTGGGCCTGTTTCGTGAAGTTGAACACATTATGCGGACGAATATGACAGCGATGATGATCTTTTTAAATAGTTTCTTTGAGTAAAATGTCGAACAAACATGAGCCAGCTAAAGGAATTCAATGAAATTCCCTTTGCTCGAGATCCTGTGGACGATGGAGACATGTAGATGTATCAGTGGGTTGGAGTGCCGACATTAGAGCGTGGTCTTGGTAAGACGCTACACGGAGCGTTGGTTTGAAACGATGCGCCGAGCTCACGAAGTTCGATATAAAAAATATATATTGCTGTACATGATAAAAGTGACGTTTATCTATATACACACAGAACCAGCAGACCGTCCATGAGGTTATTTTGCTGCAAATACACGAGAACGTAAAGGATAGTGGAGTAGGCTAGTGGTTCAAGCAGTCACTTGTCACGCCGAAGCCCTGGGTTTGATTCCCATTTCTTTGTTCCCCTGTTGTGACATTGCAAAATGTTGTTTGAAGCGGCATAACGTTACATTCACTCACAACACCTTGAGTACCTGACGCTATAGGAGCATGGAGCTTTATACCTTAAATATCTACCCTGCACAGCATAGCCTCTCCATCTCCGATATTCCATGTCAATGTTGTATTCCCTACCACACAGGTATGAGGAGCTTGTTGGTGTGTGTACTTAACTCCTGAAATTGTCGAAAAACATCTCTGTGCAAACCTTTAGACAAATGAAATATAATTATTGAACACAGTCAGTTCTGATGTAGAATGTTAACGAAATTAAGATGCATTGTACATAATTTGAATATTAGAGAAGCTAGATTTGAAAAAAAACGGCAAATGAAAATGCCTTGTGTTCTCTCTGCAACCACCCTTCTAAAGATGAATGCACGCGCTGTTACTATGTCCAGAGATTGCAAGTCTCAGAAATGATGACATGGACAGTATTTAGGAGATGGACCATCTCGGGAAAAGTGTATTGATTTTATTGTACTGCATATTTCACATGAGGCTAAGAAGCCAAACAAATCTATTATAATATATATTGTTAGCGCTGCAACCATGTACACTGTTACTGGTACATGCTAGGCTATTGACCTACTGGCTACTTATGCAAATAAACTTGTTCTAAATTAAGGCTGTTGTTTAGGATGTGTTGAGAGTGTAATTAATGTACTCTAGACAAGTATTGTTAATGCACATTAAGAGGTTATATTTTTCATTATTGCCAGCACTAAATACAAATCTCATATATACATATATGTTCTTCTAATTACTGTCCTTTATCAAGTCACGTACTGGTGATTATACAGACGGCACGTACATGTGTATATCAATGTGGAGCACGCTATCAATACCTCATTATCAGAATAGTCACGATAAAGTGCGGTGCGGATCGGTATAACTGAGTATAATATTTCCTGAACACGTAAATGCGTATTTATCTCGTATATTGAGTTTCCTTTATATTCCAATCAAATATACACTGTTATAAATCAGGAAATACAAAGTGGCCAGCTTATTATTATCTCTCCTGAGAGCAAGTTCCGGC